CAGCACACACGAGACAGAGCAGAAATACCTTTTTTTCAGAAAGGCAAATTCTTGGAGCAGAGAGGCTACATTTGCCTTGAACTATTTACCTGTATGTAGGCTCATGTGCTCCAGAAGAGAATGCTTTGTTGTCAGAGCCTTACTGCAGACAGTGCACGTGTATGGCCGTTCCCCAGTGTGCATCCGCTCGTGGACCTGAAGAGAATGCTTCTGGGAAAAGCCTTTGCCACACTCACTGCACTTAAAAGGGCGCTCTCCTGAAAGCAAAAGATGACATTTTTAGGTATAGATGCATTATTTCTCACTCGATATTCTAAGCTGACAGTGAGATTCATTACAATGTAGTAGCTACAAAAAAATTACTCCTGAGTAGTGGTGAGAAGAATTGAGACAAGCTTCACATAACAATAATTCTTTAACTATTGCCATATAATTCAGTCTTTAAACAGCAAAATTATTAACTAAACTGCAGTCAAGATGAGACATAAAGACCCTGAGATCTGCTGGCAAGAATAAAACAGCGAACACAGGAGACACACCAGAATTTGGATCAGCATGCTATTTTGGATAGCTCTTGCTCTAGAAAACAGCCAACATTTCAACTACTTGCTCGCATTTAGCACCATCACTAAACCCTAATCCAGCAGTCTTTTAATGCCTACCTGTATGACTTCGTTGGTGAATAGCTAAGAAGTGATTATACTTAAATACTTTGCCACAGTCTTTACAGCGAGCTTCAGAACCCACACGTCTTCTTTTTCCATCGGTTCTCTTTGCCAGTCCTTTTTCATCCTCATCCCCGAGAAGTTTATAATCCTTTAGTTTGATTGATCTCCTTATTCTACGTTTGCTGTAACGGCTCTGAGTACTCTGTATTCCTTCAGATTTGGGATCATAGTTTTCATCTTTCTCAGCTGACAGATCAACAGCAGCCTCTGAGCCACGAGCAGGTTCAGTTTCTTCTCCATCTTTCCTCACTGGAGCCTGTTCACTGGCGACTGCTTCTTCTGCTGCAGTGTCCTTTTTCACAAAATTTTGCTTATTTTGCATGGAGTTGTTCTCTCTCAGCTGCACATCTTCGGCAGAATTTGCTCCTGATTCTTCTTCTTCTTGGACAACCTTGATTTTCCTCGGTCGCCCTCGTTTTCGCTTTGGCGGATCTTCATTTTTGTTGTCACTTGCGACAACAGCTACAGAGGCTCCACTGTTTGCTGGAGCTGGCAACACATTACCTGGGCTACAGCTGGCCAGGTAGTCTGTACAGACCCATACCAAGTCAGTCACTTTCAGCAGCTGTGCAGTAGCCAGGATTTGTTCTGTGCTTTTCTCACTGGCACAGAGGCAACCAGTGTAGATAAATTCTAGCAGAACTCCAAAGATGTCTGCAACCATTCCCTCCAACATGTAAACTGACTGTCCTATTTCACCCTCATTTACAAACATCATTGAGAAGTATTCACTGCTGGCAGCCAGCAAGGCTTTATGGGCTCTGAATTGCACATTCTCCACTATCAAAGTAATGTCGCAAAGAAAATCCTTTTTCCTCTGTTCTTCAAAATTAGCTAGAATAGTATCTTTGTGAGCTTTGGAGTGGATGATGACCAGTTTCTCAGAACCATCAGGAGTTGCTTTTGCCATTTTAATTACGAATATAAAGGACGTGCCTACAAAAACAGAATAATTTTAATAAATAATTATTTTAGCAATCTGCATTATAAGACACCAAATATCATCTGCTTTACCAGTAACAGAGTTCAAGAGTTTCTGAAGCAATTCTGAATCCTCTAACTTTTGAAAAATAAACACTATTGCTGACACAGATTTTCTTCAAAAAGTGCTTTTGAATCCCATGGAATGGCTACAGATAGTTTCTTTGATCAGAATCACTGCCTATCATTTGTTTATCTCTGATGTACTGAGAACTCTGTATTATCTAAAAAAATTGCGACCCGTTCTGAAATCTCCTTTCCTAACTAAAATAATCGGACAAAAAGAATTGTTTGTTCATGGCTCCTTAGTAGAGTACTGGGTTTGCATGGCAAAATTTTGTTAGTGGGGCAGCTACAGGGGTGGCTTCTGTTAGGAGTTGTTAGAAGCTTCCCCCATGTCCTACAGAGACACCACCATCTGGATCCAGGACGGACCAGCCGCTGGCCAAGGCTGAGCTCATCAGAAACAGTGGTAATGCCTCTGGGATAACAGATTTAAGAAGGGTGAAAAATACCTCCACAACTGAGCTAGAGAGAGGAGTGAGAAACAGCCCTGCAGACACCAAGGTCAGTGAAGGAGGGAGAGAGGAGGTGTTCCAGGCGCTGGAGCAGAGGTTCCCCTGCAGCTCATGGTGCAGACCATGGTGAACAAGACTGTCCCACTGCAGCCCATGGAAAACACCATGCCAGAGCAGGCGGATGCCCAAAGCAGGCTGGGACCATTTGGGAAGCCCTGCTGGAGCAGGCTCCTGGCAGGACTTGTAGTCCTTCAGAGAAGCCCACACTGGAACAAATTTTCTGGCAGGACTTGTGACCTCGTGGGGGACCCACACTGGAGCAGCCTGTTCCTGAAGGACTGCATCCCTGGAAGGGACCCACACTAGAGCAGTTTGTGAAGAACTGTAGCCTGTGGGAAGGACCCCATGCTGGAGCAGAGGACGCATGTGAGGAGTCCTCTCACTGCAGAGGAAGCAGTGGCAGAGACAATGCATGATGAACTGACCATAGCCCCCATTCCCCATCCCCTTGCACCACTGAAGGGGGATAACGCAGAGAAAAGTATGAGTAAAGCTAAGCCTGGAAAGAAGGGAGGAGTGGGGTGACCACCTGTTTTAAGATTTGGTTTCATTTTTCATTATGCTGCTCTGATTTCATTGATTTCATTCAATAAACTGATTTCCCCAAGTCAAGTGTGTTTTGCCTGTGATGGTAATTGCTGACTCATCTCTCCCTGTCCTTGTCTTGACCCATGAGCTTTTTATTATATTCTCTGTCCCTGGTCCAGCTCAGGATGGGAGTGATGGAGTGGGCTTTGGTGGGCACCTGGCATCCACCCAGTGTCAACCCATTGCACTGGGAACAAAAAAGGTCAACTGCAGGTTCGTCATTGCAGATTATTCAGGGATAAGGCTATGAAATCCTGTAATTGATGATAAAACTTCACTGGTATCAGTATGGCAGAACTTCATGACTTCTTTTACCCACTTATATAATTCTAAGTTTCTTTTTCATAACATTCTACCTACAAAGCTTCAGCCTATGGAGGTAGGCAATAAAAGCAGAAAAACAACACCACTTTAAAGCACTCTGTCTAAAATAGGGTTGATTATGGTAATTATTAACCATCAATTTGACTTGCTAAGAATTGTAAATTTGAAAAATTAATAACAAACAAAAAAAAATCCAAAAATTTCTGAAGAGTTCACAAAATATTATTATGGAAGAGATGTGCCCAAAATGCCCTATTTACAAGGCTCAGCTGAGCCAAAGATAAAACAGATTAGGTACCTGCCATCTTAATTTATACAAGTGTCATATCAAACACAAAAAAATTTGCATATTTGTAATTAGTGAATGTAGTAGTTTCAAGCACCTGAACAAATACTGCATGAATCAACATAACACTACCTACAGATGATACCTAAATGCTGCTGCGGTGGTGAAAAAGTGATTCTTTAGCCCAAATAATCTACCAAACAGTTCATGGTGGAGTCAAATTGTTTTATCTGGGAGCTTTAATTTCTGGAGGATGTGAGCCTGATGTTTGTTGCTGGGACACCTGAAAGCACAGCTGCAGGTGTGATCCAACTCTGCCTTCCCGTGCATTCCAAGAACTCCCGAAGAGCTGCTGCCAACCCTGCCTGCAGGCATCCCCTGACACCCACACGTCTTAGACGGGACAGTGGGTGTATTGCGGCTTTCGATCACATCAAAGACTTTGGCGTTTAATAAGGAGGTGACACCATTAGTATTTTGACCGCAAAATCCAACACACCCGTCTGCCTTTCCTAAAAAGCCCTAACAATTTTAGAGTGAGGCTGTGCACAAGCGGGAGGCCCCGCTCCAGCCGTGGAAGGGCTCAGGAGCAACCGGGAGTGACCCCGGGGCGCAGCGCACGGCCCAGGGATGGGTCCCAACACCGGCACGGCCAAGGACACCGCGCGGGAACAGCCCGAACAGCCTCGGCGGGAGCGGGGCCGGGAGGGCACTGGTGGCACCGCAAGCGCCGCCTCCCGCGCCCGTGTGAGCCCCGAGACTCGCTCCGTGACTCGCTCCGCAGGTTCGGGCCGCCCCCCGGGGAAGGCCGCTCGTCCCTCTGCGGGGCCGGAGCAAGGAGGGGCGCTGCCCCCCGAGAGCCGCGGACCCGCGCTCCCCCAGCGCCGCCGCCGCCGGCCCTGCCCGGCACTCACCCGGTGCCCGCCCCGCACTCCCGGCTCCGCCGCCAGCCCCGCCGCTCCGCCGCCGCACTTCCGGCACGGGCGGGGCCGGGCCGGGGCTGGCGCCGCGCGTGCGCTGCCGCAATGAGCGATACACGAGGCGGGACGTGGAGTCGCAGAACGGCCTGAGCTGGATACGCGGGGGTCGTCCGCTTCCAGCTCCCGGCCCTGCGCAGGACAGCTGCAGGGATCACACCATGTGCCTGAGAGCGTTGTCCAAAGGCTTCTTGAAATCTGTCAGCCTTGGTGCTGTGGCCACTTCCCTGGGGGGCCTGTTCCAGTGCCCAACCACCCTACGGGTGAAGAACTTTTTCCTAATATCTAATCTAAACCTCTCCTGACACAGCTTCAGGCCATTCCCTGTCACTGGTCGTGTCACTGGTTACCAGAGAGATCAGTGTCTACCTCTCCACTTTCCCTCGTGAGGAAGGTGTAGACTGCGATGACGTCTCCCCTCAGTCTCCTCCAGGCTGAGAAAGCTAAGCAACCTCAGTCACTCTCCATATGGCTTCCCCTCAAAGCCCTTCACCATCTTTTCAGCCCTCCTTTGGACGCTCTCTAATAGCTGAATATCTTTCAACTTCAGACAAAAGATTTTATTTCTAAGATTTTGTGATTAAGAAACCGGTCTGAGAAGGTGTGATGTTCATGGGTCATGTTGCAGCCATGCTGGTGGCTCATGGCAACGCTCCAGACGTTAATCCATGGAAATTGGAGGGGGAGAACAGCCCACACTAGACAAAACTGGGACGCGTGTCTTTCAGGGAAAAGAAAGTCTGCACCTTGTCGTCAAGGCCAAGGGGCCGATCTCTTGGCTCCTGGTATGGGCCTGCCATGGCAGTCCCCAGGTAGGGTATGAGCTGGCAGTGCTTCAAGAACTGCTCCAGCTTCCTCTTGTACATTTGTCGCACTGGCTCTGAGCTCCGGGGGTTGTATGCTGCAAGAAGTTAAACAGCATGTTAGTGTCCCCTGTCAACTTTGTGCAATTACAGTACAGAATTTTCAAAGGGACCAAGTCTACCCCTGATGATGTTACCTACCTGTGGTACAGATAAACCTTCCGTGGGCTGTGCCCATTGGTGCCAAACCTAAAGATCAAGACTGGTGTTTCAGAAAGTTCCTGACTCCAAAGGGTAAGGCTTTTGTAAACAAAGACACAACAAACATGCTCAGCTGCTGTCAACTTCCCATTCCTCAGGGCATGAGGTGCTGGTGAAACTCCAGGCAATGACAAATTTGGGTAGCGCAGCAGATACCCTGAAGTGGACCAGCCTGGGGATAGCCCAGGCCTGGTGTGGCTGGCACCAGGCTACTGTGTCCTTGGCACAGCTGTTCTATGACCTAAATGCTTTGCCCATAAAAAGTGAAGAGCTGATCAACAGTGTAGAGGAGGGAAGGTTTCTCTCTGCCCTAAGCCCTATTTTACATTAGTATTGAGGTGCCAATCTTCAGAGTACACTATTATTTTAATTGTTACCCTGCAGCAAAGGGGAAGAAGTGACAGCCAAATCATAACCAATTTTTTCCTGTGGACACTACTTCATATCTCATTATAAAAACTGGACAGCATGAAGAACTATGCTATGAGACACTTCAGCCCACTAGCTTTAAATTGCAGACAGCTGCATTTAACAGCTTCGGAGAGATTTTTCAAGCATAGCTGCATGTAGAGCTCTTCCAGGAGTCAAGCTTGAAGGGCACTCCATCACTCTAGTGATGTATGGTTTAACACTTTTCTCAGAAGTAAATCTCTCTGCATTTATGGTTGATGACCTGTACCTTCTCAGATACTGAAAGCAATCCAGTGTTGTTGTGAGAAAAGCTGAAGGAGCAACTAAACCACTGTTTCTTGTCCCCTATTTAAATGTGAGATTAGAGAGTGACATAAGTTAAAGATAAGAAAGTCTTACTTTAGATAGAAATAGGATGAAATAAATTTCCAGGGGACCACAACGTGAAGCACTTTGATCAAATTTTGATCAAGGATGGCACGACTACTCTGAAGAGATGCACAATAATAAACAATGCAATATTTGGAACAATCACAGAATGGGTCAGGCTAGGAGGTACCACAATGAGTCCTCTGGTCCAACCTCCCTGCTCAAGCAGGGTCATCCTAGAGCACATGGCACAGGATTGTATCCAGGAGGTTCTTGAGTATCTCCAGTGAGGGAGACTCCACAGCCTCCCTGAGCAACCTGTTCAGTGCACAGTCACCTGCACAGTGTTCTTAGTGTTCAGGCGACTCATCAGTGTACAGGAATGCTGTATTTTAAAGCTGGAAGCAGTTCTACCTGGTGTTAGAAGAAGATAACTTGTTTTCCTGGATTCCTGTGGTCAAACTGTTCAGCACTGCATGAGAAGAGATTTGTGCGCTTGCATAACCTTTCTGGTTCATCATGCAGTGCTAATAATGATTTAATGTTGCAATATTTGAGCAAAGCATTTCCTAGAGTCAGCATTGTTGCGTTAGCAAAGCTGTTCTAACAATAGGATGAAAACAGCCTTTGTGGATGGAACAAACTACTAGGATAAATGCAGTCTGGCATCTTAAGAACTGTACATTTATGCACATTTACCATGTGCCTACCCTGTTGACTGGTTTTCCTTAACAAAGCTATGCTAGTAAAAAAGTCTGTGATAGTTCAAGAAAATTCTGGAGGACTCTGGAAACTGCATGAGGAAACACAGGATGTGAAGAACTTTTAACAAATAATAAAGATTGGTATTATCTAAAAGAATAAGCAAAAATGTAAAATACAAAAGACAAGGTAAAGTACACCCACTGAACAGGTTGACTTCTGTAAGACAAAACTGGTGGGTTGAAAGAAATGTCAGTCTTGCTCCAGAAATCTCCAGCAGTACTGGAAACCAGACCAAAGCTACAGCAGAGCTGCAAACAAGGATGTTGAAATCGAGAAGGCTGGCACCATTTAAGCTGATTGTAAACTATTACAGATTACTATCTGTAACTCGTATCTTGGATTAAAAAACCCCCCAAAATTCTAAAAAACAGCAACTATGAACACGGAAGATAAAACTAGAGCAACTTTCTTCGGTGCAGGAGTAGTCCTAACCTCTGGTAGCTCTGTGAGAAGTTTAACTTTGTCCTTATCTTGTGGGCTGAGTAAAAACACCTAGTTTTTAATTTTGGACTGTTTATCTTTGTTATGGAAAAGTAAGGTCATTTGGACTATCGATTAAATTAAGAAGTCAAAAATAATCAACACATTACTCTGAATCACATTAATATTGAGATCTTCCCAGATAATTTCACAAATAAACAGACTGATAAATACTATTTCATTCCTTCTAAAAACTTAAAAATCATAACGTTGTCTTCAGGGTATCTGCAAGGCAAGGTTTCTTACTAAATTTTATTTGGCCACATGATGCCGTTGAAAAAAGGCAAGCATTCAGGCACCTAAACTATGCCTCAGATAGTATTTCAGCAGCCTTTTGATACAGTAATATAAGCCAATTTTTAAGACAATTCAGGTTGTCTATGACTAGTTTAAAATGTAGTACCATTTTAAAATGTATCATTTTACTTCTTGTTTAAAAACTCCAACAATTCCTGTTAGAAATGTTTTCAAGGCTATCAGGTTGTTGGTGATAAAGCATTATTAAAGTCTCGTGATTTGTGAGAGATCACTTACCTATCTACCTATTCTGTTAACCTTACTTTCCTCCCTGGTCCTTGCACATTTCCAAGAAACTTAGATCAGTATATAATAGTGGTTTTCCATGTTGGACATAAGAAAACGACACCGATTAGCTATAAATGTTGTATCAGATTATTTATATAATTTTTATATTTAATTATTTTTATAGCATATTATTTTATACACTACCTTTTAAATGGAAGGAGACAAACAGCAGAGCAGTTTCTTTTACACTTAGGAATGGAAATTTTGGCTTAAGGCTGCCTACTTCATGCAGAGCTTTTATTAGAGAAGTTGCTACTCCCTAAAGGAAGAAAACAGTTTTAGAAGACCATTACAGAAATCTTGAACAAAAATATATTCAAAGCCTTATCCTGTTGTCATGCAGACCTAACAATATAGGATGACACCCTAAGCTGGTAAAGAGTAGAAGATAACTAATAGTATAAAATAGGCAGGGCAGTGACCATGAATCATTTTTTTATTTATTCCTGTGTCAAAATGTAACAAACTATCCTTAGATGATTCCAGATAAACTTATGTCTATTCTAGTGTTAAAAATCAAACAAAAATGTAATCTTACATGATATCATAAAAAACTAAGTAAGAAAATCCATCATTTAATACTGCAGTTAATTATCCCCCTCTGATGGACTTACTTGTATTTTTTCCCTTAAAGCTACAAATATCTATTATTTTAAAGCTTTTAAAAATTCCTCTCAATTGTAAGTATATTAAATTTTCAATTTAATATAATCCCATTGATAAACATAAGACTCATATTGCATTAAAAATTAAGTAAACTGAGTAGGACAAACTATACTTCACAAAATCATGTTTTAAAATAGAAAAGCAAAAACTGGCCTGTTCAAGGTATCCAGCCAAAGGAAGTGCAGTTAGTAGCATTGGCTCCTTTTTTGGAGGGAGTTTATGGGGAAGCTTCAGATTCCAGTACTTCTCTGGTAACCTAACAGGATAAAAAGTAAGCACTTCTAACATGTATAAACTGTGACATGATTGAAGCTTAAAATGCAGTTGGTATATTCACCTCATAAACTTCTGAAGTTTTTCTTCACTTTCAAAAATATATACTTTATCTTGATATTTTGCTGCATACTCAATATTGCCAGGCACCAAGGCTTCATATCTGAAGAGATGGAGCAAGAACATCTATTCATTCCCAGGAAATGTAAAACATAATTTGTGCGGTGTAAATTCACGAGCTATTGGAAGCCTTCTGATTATTAACAAGTATAGAAACACCAAAAAAGTAGCAATTGGATCATCCAACTTTCCACTACATGACTGACAGTTACAAGGCTCAAAATCTGAGAAAGCCTCTGCCTCAAAATTTGCTTATTAAGGAACTTTTACAGTGCTTCTTTAGAGCTACTTCATTTAAAATGCCAATCATGGTTGTTCAGGAGATTAAGAAGGGATAGCATAGAATTGGCTAGTACGGTTCTGTTCTGATGAGAAATTCTTGCACACTGAGGAAATCAGTGGGACTTTATACTGGAGCTTTATGGATCTCTTAAAAAATCATAATAGCTTGTTTTGCATCTACTAGGATGTTATGAGATTTCTTTGAACCATTTAAGGCTTATGATAGAGAGAATTCTGTCCATCTTCATCGTGAAAGAGAGCAAGCCAATACAGATCCTTGTAGAACCTGTAGCCATATAAGTTTTAAAAGATGATTTTATATTGATTTCCAAAGCCATGGGCACAATATAGAGAATTGCAATCGCTTCCTGTCCAAACCCTGAACACTATTGAAAAGTATTTTGAAAGTGTTTTCTCATTAATGTGTTAATATGGGACACATAGTCTGTAATTCAGATTATGAAAACTCCAGTGACCTACCTCTGTTTTCCATCTAGGTAAGTGACTGGACAGTATCCCTGCATTTCAGGCCTTAGAGGGAATGAGGCCTTCATTTCTGCCACAGTCAGTTTCTTTGGTAGCATATGGGGGGGTGGGAGAGGGTGAGGTGCCAGTGATGATACATAAATCTCTGGTGTAATCAAGAATTTCTGCAGAAAAGGAAACATTTTTATAATGAAAGAAGCACTGTAAGACTATTAGTCAAACTACAGAGGGCTGGCTCACACAGTTCAGATACTTAGTTCTTCTGCAACACAACAGTGTGTTGGCACTGCTGCTGCTCTTGGATAAGTAATTTCTTTTCCAACCCACTCTTAGTTGAAGTCATCACTATCCACCCACCATCCATCAATATCCATTGCTATCATTAGCCACTCTCTACACCCAGTCTCCCTAAAACAGGTGGAGAAAGGAGGAAATTAGTGGTTCAAAACTAACGTTTGATCTGTGACAAGTTGTAAGAGGAGCTTTGGTTTAATGGACTCTGTGCTGCATTTTATCTGCCTAGATGTTTGATAGTAGAAGTATACAGAACAAAAGCTTGAATACTAAGAAGAGCGGTCTAATTCAGGTTGCATATTACTTATTTCTGTATGGAATTAAAGAATCTAAACAACAATGTTCCCCCTTCCCATAATCCTCTCCTGACGTGCTTTTTGACACTTACATCCAGTTCTTCCCGTGCAGCCATTTTGTAATAACGCCCTTCAAATTCCGCAGCAAACTGCAGTGAGGAGGTTACAGAGCAGTCGACCAATTCACCCTTCTCTGCAAGGCTGACGGGACAGTATTGCCCAAACTCCCCCAGCCGCTCCTGCAGCTCTTTGTAAGTGATACATAAATCAGCAATGCTGGCAGCTTTTCCTGTTAATAAAAGCAATTAATGATAATGTTTTATTTATGAAAGACATATAAACATCAAACAATTCTACTCAGAAATGTTACAGTTTAGAAGGTAATTCATAATTTGAAAGTGATATGAAATAATGAGAACTAAAATAGCAATTTTTAATAGATCGATAATAAAATGAAATTGCAACTCATTTTACCAATTAATTTTAATGACATTTTTGTAGCAGCTAAGAAATATAATGATTATTAATGATGTAGGCTATTGTGCATGCTCAACTTATTAGTCTACTTTCCCTGGGATGGTTTTATTTATGATTTATTGTTTTACTCCTCTGTGTTACTAAGGAACATTTCAGCTATTATTTTATTTCATTACATTAGTGAAAAAGAGTACAAGGTGTGATGAAAGCCTCCCCATTATTCATCCATGTCTTGCAAATGCTACAGTCTATCTGCATGAAATATATTCCAAATCTTGAATGTCATCTCAAACCCAAACTATTTAAAAATTGTACTTTTCAAGCTTGACGTGAAAAAAGTTAAAAGTATTTTAATATGTTTGATTATGGCTCTGGTTTTTAAGAAGGGTGCAGCCACAGAGCTGTAAAAGTTGAAATCAAAAGGTAGATATAAGATAAGGAAGCCTGTTTGCCCTTCAGAGGAATTCTAGTTCAATAGTACAGACATGTTTAAAAGGCATATTTAATCCTGACCAATGCTGACATACAAAAAAGTCAAGCGGGAACTGTGTCATTTTAGACTAAAGTGGTTTTCTTCCCAAAGCACAGAAATTAACTCCGATGGCATATTTAAGCTTAATTCTGAACTTTTAATTAACATCTTCCCTCTCCTATCCTCTTACTCTACTAACACTAAAGTGAAGTTGCAAGTCATAGTTCCCCTTGGATACTCTGGGACAGCCTTTGTGGTTTATACCCCAGTGTTGCAGAATCTACCATGGACTCTGACTTCTTCCAGCGTATTTCTGTTACTCTGTTGTTTGGAGGATGGCCCCAGACTACTCAGTAGTTGGTTTTGTCTTCACTTTCTTCAAGAGACCTCTTCAAGATCTCTGCAGATGAGATTGAAGAATTTGAGGGTATGTACGTGCCCAAGAATTAGCTTCATCCAAAGAAAGTCGAAATGCCCATTTTACAATATTACAACGGAAATGTAATGGGAATGCCCATATTACTCGGGGAAAGTTTGTTTTTCTTTTACCTTCTCTTATTCTTTCCAGGTATATCTGTATTTGTTTAACAACCATTTGAATTTCCTGCGTAACTTTGTTCCAGATCTTCCACTTGCTCTGAACAGCATCAATCACACACCAGTTCTGACGCTCCTTCATATAGTAAGTCCTAATTGCATCAATGTGCTGTTTATAGCAGGAATTTTTAATGGCTAGAATCTGTGAGCTGTCATGTTCAGGATAGGGAGGGCTGAAGACAATGAAAAATAACACTCATTTACATCTGAAGATTAGATAATTTCATTGAATTTCAAGTGTAAATTCTAGAGTTCACTTTAAGTTCTTTTTACAGAATTCTGCTTGCTTGACACTGTACAAGTACAAATTTCATATTAAGAATATTACCAAGTACATGTGAAAAGGAGCATACTTATGATTAGATAGCCATGTTCAGAAACAAAGAACAAAACCTTTTCTACTTATGTCCCAAATACAACTCAAAAATTATTTTGTAAAGGATTTGTAATGTATCAGCACATATTAACTGACACACACCACAGATATACTATTAAATGGCACCCTGATATTGCACATTTGATTTGTATTTAAGCCTATGAAATGTAATTAGTTTAAAGTTAAAATGAAGTTTAAAGTAAATACTTTCAAAAAGTCATCATTAATTTAATTTTTTTGCAATGCAAATTCTCTTTAGTCTCTTGGTAAACAATTTAGCATTGTACTGATTACTTGATAAAAAGAAAGAGACAAAATGAAAGAGATATGCAATAATGTTCCAAGCTATCTGGAACTTCTTAGAAACACTTCATCTAATGAGAACCAGGTTCTTATACAATTTAATTTTAAGGTGAATGTTCTGTTCTTTTTCATTCTCTGCTTACTGTTCTTCCTCAAAAACAACCAGCAGCTCTTTAAACAGAATATTTACCTCCTCAGAAAAACAAAGGGGAGTGAGCTGAATTGAAAGGTTTAGATGAGTAACTCATGAATTCTGTATGTTACTAAACTATGCATTATTTCCGTATTTTAAAAAGAACTATAATTAAGACTTAAAAGACAGCTTATTAGATGAAGTATCAATTTCTCTTACAATGATAATAATTGAATTAAATTGCAACATAAACTTCAGCAGCAGAGAGAACTGGTAACATTTCTGGCATACAGTCTCGTTAAAGCAGTTTAACTCAACAGTGGGTGAACAGCACTGCACATTTGTGATCTCCGTCACAAATCGAGGGATGTGGCCAGAGCATGCCACAGATACCTGACGTCTCCGTTTCTGGTCTGTGGAAATCAAAGCACTAGCACACAGAGGGACTAGTTCCCCTGTCTTTTCATGTGTGGAGTTCAGAGACAGCTGAGTAATGCTCCAGCTTAGATACCCTCTCTGGGTACAGCACTGAGGCACATAATTAGAGAAATTACCATATCCTGTAGAAAAAAAGTATTTCTATCAGAGAGCATCACTACCTGTTTGTGCTTTCCTTATCCAACAGTGCTCTTCTGAACACTTCCTTTGTATCCATTTCTAATTCAAAGATTTTCACTGGAATTATCTTCACTGATTCCAAGAGGTTTACTTGTTTTCTTGTTAGAGGATATCCATCAATTACAACTCTGCATACAAACAGGAACGGAAGAAGTTTTCCTAAAAAGTGAGTTTCTAGTCAATCAGTAAGACTATGTATATTCCTACTACATTCTCCATAAAGGCAAAGTCTACACCCATGACATGAAGTTATCACTGCTCTGACTTGAGAGACACAATCTTCACTCCTAAGAATTTAAAATCAGATTAAAAAAATCAAGTAGGTAGAATATAAAATAGTAAAGGGAAAAGGAAATGCACAAGGGGCAACAGGTAAGTGGAGGGCTGTGACTTAAAAAAATGGTGGATTTTAAAATTTTGACACATCAATAATTCAGAAACATCATTTTAATTATGAGAAATCTCCATATGGATTGGAAGGAGCAGTTTTCAAAGTGGTAAGTAAAATGATTTACTACTGTACTTGAAGAATTTTTAAAATCATATTGAAGAAGAAATGCTTTTCACATATTAGGCAATACTGGAACAAAATATACTGAAACAATATTCCAGTATTTAACATGAAAAAAAAGTTGAAAGAATTCTATCTCAAGCTCAAATAGTTTTCAGAGATTATTCCAGAATTGCCTTTCCCTGTAGCAATTCTTTTTGAGGAGGTGAATGTCATGAAATCATGATAGTCAAGCTTTTTAAGTCTGCCTAGTTTTGAAGGTGTTTCAGTGACAGAGAAAGAGCCTAGGAAATCAGGATCACATATGAATGAGGTGGAAAAACTCACTGGTTTCAATTCCTCCTTCATAACTGGTTGTTAACAAAACCAGAAAAAAAACTTGAATACTGAACCAGTCTGCATGATCAAAGGGAATCTAATGTGTCCAAGTTGGTTCTGGAGTTGGTATAAGAGAGACAAAATGGTAGTTCTCAAAGGACAGTAGAGAGTATTGGCTTATTGACTGAAAAAAAGGTAACTTTCATAAAGCATATTACCTGGATTGACTGGAATATACTTACTTGAAAATTGAGAAAATTATGCTTCACTTTAATTTCCCAGAGTAGTGTGAAGGACCTCTTTTTTACAGATGATTTTCTTAATGCAGAAACCAGTGATGTGTTTTATTGAAATTGTTTTACAGTGATAACATGGGAATCCATGCCTATGAAGGGACTGGCATGTCTTGAAGAAACCCCCCAAATGCAGACAAGACTCTTACCCGGCGATGCTACACCTGGGGTTTAGCAGAGCCACATCTAGAGCCTGGATGGCCAGTTCATCAGGTACAGTCAGTCCTTTGTGAAGGTGCTCCTTTATCTTAAGTGCCAAGTCACTCTCGGGCTGGCTGTCTATCACCAGCCGTATGGCATCTCCCATGCACAGGCGCAGCAATCCATACACACTGGCAAGCTTCTCGGCAACTGCAAAACATTTTGATTTCAACTCACCACTTTTAACGTAAGCAACATCACAACCTGGCAGCCTATTGAAGTATGTCCTTGGTCTCAGAAGCTAACTGCTCAGCTCATTTTCCTGGTCATTTCCACTGCATAATCTTGGTAAGTGTGTACCTTACCCTGCTAAGGCCCCTGTAGGGCCCAGACCGTGCATGTGCACAGAGCACACCCAGTGCGCTTACGCTGTTCAAGTCAGCACAAACCTCAGGAGCAATAGTCAGTATTATTATAAAATGTCTTAGAAAATATGCTTCCACTGCTGCCCCTTTTACAGAACAGCCCAGCAGTAAGATCACTTATTCAGAAAATGGGAAATAGGGTTAAAATTTCCTCCTAAATATAATTTGAACCTGTCTCTTCTTTTTCTAACATCCTATTACAATCATTAAAATATAATCATATGGTACAAAATGAATCTTCTCCTCCTCCAGTAAAAGGCAGAGAAGTGGATTGACAGAGTCATGGAGGAGAGGAGAGAAAGATGGAAATCTTGGGTTTTTTTAATTTAGAAATTTGGAAACAGACTGGGGAATGGGGAGTATCTGACTATCAAAGGAGACACTAGAGAATGTAACTAAAGGAATTTATGCCCAGTAAGAATAGCAGGAAGACCAACAATATTAATGGTTTATGATTTTTCAATAGTAATGACAGATACAGCTTCAGTTCATTAAATAAGATTTTGCTGTACACATAACTGGCCCATACCTGTAGTCTTTCCAGATTTTGGAGGTCCCACAATTGCAATCTTAACTGGTGCAGCCGGTTTAGGTTTTGGCTGACGAATATATTTGATGGGATTTGTCATAAATGTTTCTTTATTTTCTTTACTTGAAAAGAAATAAATATATTGTCGATGGATTACAGGAAAGACTTCTTTTCCATGGCTTTGGTGAGGCCTGATTACATCTCCTTCGCTTAGCTGTAGTGTACACAAAATGGGAATTAGTTCATTAGGTTTGACAAAACCTCTTCTCCCTCCATCCCAGAGAAGTGGCTTTGTAGGCAGGTAGAGAAGTACCAATCATATGAAACAAACCATCAAAGTATTCCGAAATTCATACATATGGACATAATATTTTGTCCAAGTCTGAGAAAATTCCATACATATGCAATTACTGTACAAAAAGATGAAATAAACAACGAAGACAGAAAGAATACTCACTATTTCCAGTAGGTGGTACTGTAACACTTTATGTCCATCAAAATACTGGTCAGAGAGGATTAACATAATACCTTTTCTAATTTTCAGAGAATAAAGAAAATAATTTTATTCCTCAGTGAATTAAACTTGCTTACCTGCCTGACAGTAGAAGATACACTGAGAATATTGTATTAGCAGAAGTCATGTACAAATGAAGAAAATGTGAAAGGATATCAGTAGTTACATTATGGTCAAGTGTAAAACCACAGCAAGTAAGCCAAAAAAGTTTTTGGTAAAATACATGCACCACTGATTAAATGTTTTCAAACACATTAGACAGCCCACTAGAAAGTCTGTAGCGTTGATGGATCGTTGTCAGAAATGGTCACTGCGGTAATACTAAATTAATTCGTTGCACCACTGTTCTCTGTAGAAGAACTTAGTCACGTCCCTGTTGCAGCCCTTCTTGGAGGAACTGCCTTAAAGTGTCAATAAAAGATGTTTTAAAACTAAATGTTGACATCTGTAGAAAAAATTGCCCAGACCAGATGGCATTCACCTTATATTTCTAAAGGGACTCAGAAGAGAAATTTTTACTGAGAAATGTGTAACACTGGCCTTTCCTTCAACAAAAAAGAAAGGTGGAGAAAGTTACTCTTTTAAAAAAAAGGCCTTCAGGGTGGATCCTGGCAAACATAGTCCAGTAAATCTGACTCTGTATTGAGCAAATTGAAATATATTAAGGAAAGTAGTTACATGCATACATATAAAATAATGGGGAAAAGCCAACTCAGCTTCTTGTAGAGGGAAATCATACCTCACAAATTAATTACTATTCTTTGAAGGAATCCATGAAGTTGATCTGGTTATTACAGAAAGAGATGGGACTGTGCTACTGTATGGCATTGCCTTGCCAGACTCTTCTCATATTCTTAGGTTCCTATTCCAGCATGAAGTCATTTCAGGATTCTTGCCCTCAATTTATGAGATGTCATGAGTCTGTTCTACTGCATGTCTGCTTCCATTCCTCCCTCAGCTCATCATTTTTATTATCTGCTTATCTAATCAGTCGCATTACTACTTTCCTCCCCCCCAGATTTAATCTAAAAGTAATTGGCAGTAAAGTAAAAGTTATCTGCCTTTCTACTCCAAAACTTCCAGTTTGTAATCAGTTTCATAATTTCTATTATATCCTAAAGTACCTGCAAAATGATCCTATTTCCCTGTCATTATTACCGGCTCATACATTTTCACTGTCAGCACACACCTCTGATTTTATCTAATAGCTTCCTATGACTTTTTTCTAACTGAATTGCACTTTTTATTGGCAAATAAAAACACTGCATAGAAGAAATGAATGAACTGGAGAAAAAGAATGATAAAAATGTAGTGAAATCTGATAGAACAAAGTGCAAGGACTAGAGTGTAGGGACTAATTAGAATTAAACACATAAACTGGTTCAGTAGTTGGAAATGACAGAAGAGTAGAAATACCTGCTTCTATTAATATGTCCCTAGATTATTGGATGCCAATTTGATGCAGCCATGAAAAAGAATGAAGATTCTGATCCTACTGTTAAAGAAAGACAAACACGATCTGGAAGAGGTGAAGACCCAACATGATGACTATACAAAAGGGAATAAAACTTGCTTGATTAATTGGCATAGTAAAATGAAGGCCAAAGTGTGTTTCTCTCAGGGCTTTTCTGCTTTCTATATGGTGTTCACTGGACTTTTTCTTTAATGAATCTTTCTTTCTATTTTTGATTTATTCACAGTCCAACCTGCTTTTATTTCTTCCATTAAACTACAGAAATTACCTGCTGACATTTCACTTCCTACCTATAAAACTGTATCAGCCCACTTTTGGGGATAGATATGAGTACCTTCTGACCTCAACTTTCCACATCTCTAGTAAAATACTATGGGAATACATTTGTTGCTTTTCAAAATTTGTAAATTTTCAAAAGAAAGAATTACTGCCGATGAATTACATACATCTAACATTTTTTCGTTTACTTTTTCACCACTGCCAGGATTGGTGGCCACTTGTGTGTGTGGCTTCTTATAAATTTATACTCCAAAGCCTTTCAGTTTGTTTTCACCACTTCTGGAAGGCTTTAAGACCTTCTCTGTTGTCCTATGTTTTGTGTATCATTAAGAGATAGGCATTTCTTTCTGATTCAATGCCACCTTTAATTGTGTCACCATTGATAGTGTAACAAATTTCACTAAATGCTTCTCAGCCTTAAATTAGATGCAACACTGAAAAGACTAACACCTTTTATTATCAATGCTTGCTGTATTTTTTGTTTATTCAGTGGTGTCATTTTGATTCAGTAATGTAGTTTTCATTCAGTCGTTCTGGTATTAAATGCTGCTGTCTCATAACATCTTTTTAATGCAGAATACATTTTTAAAAAGTGTTACCTCTTGAAAATATTCTTCAGCCATTTAAGAACATTACCTTGATTGGATCCCACTGACCAAAAGAACTTGGAAATTTATATGAGAGAAATAGCATCTTCTCTGCAAGTGGTAAACTGATTGGGTAACATTTCTCAAAAATGCTTTCACGGTGTTCTGTTAGAGATTTCAGCTTGCTATACACTTGGTAGCGCACAACATGAGGCTTCCGTCCTCCATTGATCTCAATTGGTGGTATTAATAATTTTTCAAGTTCTTCCTGGTTATGAAAACATAATGAAATATTAGAATCATAAACACAATCAGATTTATAATAAAGACTGACAGCAAGATTTTCTGTCAACTATCAAGGATTTCTTGAGCATGTTCTCAGTCACCATAATCAGCAAAATTTGATTGGAGAGGAGAATTGGTCTTCCTGCCCACTGAAGTTTAAACTACCCAGTACCCAGTATATATTAAGTATCATACAATTACAATATTATAATATTATCTGCTTTTGTAAACTTTCTCTCTGATCAGTGGATAGAATCTGAATCATGATTTAGTTTCTTCCTGAAGTAAGATACTTTGTACATAGTAAACAAATGTCACCCATCTGCTCACGGCTTTAGATGTGGCATTATCATTGCAGACATCTAACACAAGTAACTGATTTCAAGAAAATTATGTTACTAGGAACTGTATTAAAAAATAGAGCTGTCTAGTAAGACTTCTGTCTCAAAAATTATTTTGAAATACTGTTCATATATTTATAACTCTCTAGTTTGGTTGCCTGTATCAACTGACCTATCAAAAAGGAAATAAGGACACCAAGACTGGGTAGGCCTAAACAAATGTTTCCTTTTCTCCCCCTACGATATTAGTCATATAAATTACATACTCTATAAAGTCTATGCCTTCTCAGTACAGCCTTCATCTTGCTCACATATTTAGATCATGAGTACAGCCGCACAGTTGTTTAAGCACTATAACTTTTAAATGTGAAAAATAAACTTGAAAATTCTTCTTGCATTATGTGATCATATAATTGAAAAAAATAAGCAGTGGTATCAGTACCTGTACACTTTGTAATCTCTCTACTTCTGAATCAAATTTTTCTGCAATTTCATTTTGCATGCGTTCAACAGCATCTTCTTCTGCTTCTTCTTCTTCTTCTTCTTCCTCTTCTTCTTCTAAAAACTCTTCTTTAAGTATAGCTTCAATTTCTTCAATTTCATTCTCATCCTCCTCCTCAGTGGCTTCAAAATTCTCCTTATTTGCTACAGCCTATAAAGGCAAAATATTTTGTTGTTTCATGTCTCATACAGATAAAGGATCATACGGCATTCTTGTCTCCTTTTTAATTAGAAAAATCATTAATTAAAAAACCCCTAATTTTGGGGTATTCTTTATTGTAAGCAAAAGTCTAGTAGATCCTAGAATCTTATTTCAGAAGAAAATACAGGGCTATTGCATCGTGCATACAGTGAAGCATTGTCAAAACCGCAGTTTTGGTAAGAGGTGTATTTTTCTCATACGTGGTATTGTAGTTTGACAGGACTTTGTTTTAAACAGGCATGTTTACTGAAAGTGTAGCTGACAGAATTTCTTGAGCAGTCAAGTAGTACATTAATACATTTATAAATATACTATGTAATTGACTTCGGGCAGAAATTCCGGTACAATCCTATTCTGGATTGACCCTGGATTTGACAGGGTACTTAAGGCACATGCCTAATCCAATTAATGGGGCTACTCTTATGGTCACCAATTAGATTCATTAAACACATTCATAAGTATTTTGCTGACTTAGAGCACATATTGAGAATTCTTTTAAAATTGTTTTTAGTCTTCACAAATCAATAATTTTTACAACAAATTCAAATATCACATAAAATTATTTTTGAAAGTAGAAGCTTCTTCACAGTCTATCCCATTTTTACTATTCTACATTGTCCTGAAGTCTTTGACTAAAAATTTCTAAGGTATGAATGCAAACACTTCTATCTAAAATCTTTCTTATTAGCTTGTTTTCTTACCTCCTGTTTCTTTTGTTTTCGTTCTGCTAAAAGTTCTTCCCTTCTTTTAGCAATCTTCTCATTCTGTTAGTGAAAAAAAGATGTAAGAAGACTGATATTTGCTAATAGAAGATCTGTGAGAATTGGTAACGTGGCCTGTATTTAACGTTGTTCTTTCCACCTTGAAATTCTATTTCCAGTTGATTCTAATGTTAAAAAATACTACCTACAGTTTGAAATTTTGCAGACCAGATATACCTCTCTACTAAGCAAACATGTAATTTAATTTTAGTAAAACTAATTTGGCAACTTTTGAGATTGACATTAGAGGGGCAAAAAATACTGTGTTCTTATCACACTGAAAATACAGTAGTATTTTTATTGATTAACTACAGAGTTCCTGAACTTATAGGTGTTTTCTGTCATTTGGCAAAGGAGTGACTGAAGACGGTATTAAATGTGTGCTGTTCCCTTTGACAGTTTAGTGATGTTAATGGTATTGTATGAGTCTTGTCCCAAATTCCATTGTCCTAACTTCCTGTGTTTCAGCTGCTCTTTAGTAACTTATATTCAGACTTTTTCTGATAGTACATGTGAAGTACTTTATCTCACTTTTATAGAAAGTTAATAATCTTGAATATATTACATGTACCAGTTGTAAATGTCTGCATAGAGGCTTCAGGTTACTTCAAATAATTTGTAACTTTATCGACAGTAGACACAGCGTTGTTTGAACAGGAGACTGTGCAGCCACAACAGCACTAGAATGTGGCTTAGAGCTACTACATTTCTGTGCAGAGTATCATAGATGGAAACACAGACACACGCACACACCATACAGTACCTGTGAAGTCAGCCTATGGGAGATGCTGATCAACTCAACAGCACATTACAGTGCATGAACTGTTTATTTTATTTTTTATGGCCACATTCACTCCCTCCATTTAGGTGCGTTTTGTCCAGCACTTTCCAGATGTCTGGCATTCTGTCAGACTGCCATTTGTTTGGCAGCACAGCTACTTCTCTTGGGTGCAAGGTGGCTAAACTCCTTCATAAATTAGTTGCACAGAAGAGGAAAGGAGCTCTAAATTATTTTTCATTCCTATGGTAAGTCTGGGAATGCTATGAATGTGTTGGACTGTGTCTCCTGGCTCCCATATCTATTACTCTTTGTGCTCTTCACAGCTTTGGGAGTTTTAGAATCTGTATTTAGAACTATGCTGTTGAAACGACAAAAAAAAAATATGTAGGACTGAAAACTTACCCTCATTTTTGTTTTCATGTCCTTCAGTTTCTTTTTATATTCCTTTTTTTTAAGCCGTTTGTCTTTCCATTTTTTCAGACGTGGAGGAAAAAGACGTTCAAGAATGTCACTGTCTTCTACTTGAATATAAACTGCAATATCAGGACAGAGTCCTCGTTCTGACAAATATTGGGCTTCATCTGCAGTACGAGGGAAACCATCCAGTATGAAGCCTGTGGACCTAATTGGAAAATGAGATATTTATCATTACACAGTGTAGTTTAAAGTGCAACACAATGAACTATCAATGAACTATCTCGCATTGGCCTCTTTAGCCACCAGTGCCCTCGTAGCATTTGTGGGTAGAGCCCTTCCCAAATCTTCGTTTGTGAAGCCCAGCCATGATGATGATGATGACGACAGTGAACATGTAATTATTTGGAAAAAAACCCCAAAGCCTCCCATATTAAATGCATATGTTAAGAGTAAAATTAAAAAAATACTTTCAGCTACTATCTTTTTACAATGTAAAACTGATATTTCAGTATGTATTTTAATTACATACTTAAAAATTAATTTCTTCCAAGGTTTTAATGTGCGAAGCTTAATTATTTTAAAAGAACGTAAAAAAACCAAAATAAATTGTATCTTCAAACTTGCTTGTGTAACTCTAAAACCAATATTTCTTAGGTACTGCTCTCAAAAAAAAATTATTGTTACCCAAATATTATTTGCCAAATATATACATAAATATGCCAAAGAAAGCTTGTGCCTGAAAATTTATGTTTCAGAAATGCCTGACAGTTTCTCCTCTAGTATAGGATGAGAAATTTGCTACTCAGTTTGACTTAGATCTGTCTTCCTGCAGATATTAAAAACAAGACGGATGCCTGGAGAGCTCTATGGCTTGTTGGACCTCTCACAATTTCAGATTAGATCAGTAGTTATGTAGGGCTGAATGTGTGTTGATAAGAAGTGAATATTTATTTTTATTACTTTAGACCTTAATAGGATACATTGTAAAATTGCAAAAAAACAAAGAAGCTACAAGGAGTGGAGGGAAGAATAGGTAGCCCTAGATGCTGTGTGAAAGGAGTGTGTAACACAGAGTAGTGTAGTACAGTATAGTCTAATGTTATGTATTGTACTGTGATATAATACAATATAACATCACAACATCATGTGTAATGCTGGGTAATTTTTAGTCTTGGTGCATTCTTTTTTTCCTAAAACTAGTGTCCTTGTTTTTACACCATTTGGAGAATGTCCCCTATCTGTAGGCTGACAGGATAAAAATTACATAAAAATATAAAAGGTTTGTTTACGTATCTATCCTGTAAGCCCATGAAAACTACCCAGCTATTTAGGAGATTTAATCCAATTCAAGTGTGCTAAGTACTTTTGTCCAGAACTGTGTACAACATATGAGACATGATATTACTGTCAAAATATCATTCAAAATAGTACAACAAAACCAAGACTGAGAGGTAGGCCATAACTCATAAAAAGTACAAGAGCATTGAAATAATCTCTGGCATAGTTATTTACAATTGTGGACCAAATGGATGATACACTTCCCAAGATTAATTAAAGAAAGAGAGAATCTAATTACAGTTACCGGAATGGCTCTTTCTTCCACCAGTCAAAAACAATGTTATCAAGGACTTCTGGAGGCAGTTCCTTACTATCCATTAGATTTGCTTTGATTGCCTCTTCCTCATCAGTTAACACCTCTTCCTTTATGTAAAGAAAATCAACTGGAAAATGAAAAACATACCCCAAGAGAACAAACAAACAAAAACCAGAAAGAAAGAAATATCTCCTTGACTCATTTATTGGTTTTTGGCTAAGTAAGGTACTGTCTTCATTTGACTTAAACCGGGAGAAACAAACTCAATTTGCCACATTTCACCATACTACATTATACATTTTAGGTAAGGATGTAGTATTAGGGCAATTGCTGCTGCATGAGTTTTCATAAAACCTAAAAGCAAGCACAACAGTTAAGTATTTAATTATACTTATGCTCAATTCAGAGGAACAGAAACTGAAATGAGCATAGTCTCTCCTAGTTGCCTACAAGAAGTTTTCCACTTAGTTATACATGTTTTCATGCTGGAAGACTATCTGCACTACATCAGAATGTTTTTTCACCTTTTAAAAGCAACTCTTTTAATGCAATCCAAAAAAACATGTTAAAGAAGGATATATAAGGTTATTGGGTACAGGCACAGGAACAGACACCAGACAGATAGCATTGTTCTACAGAATAGTAGTTATATTAATGACTAATCAAGTGCAGAGCATTCAAATACCAAATCTAGCTATTAAATTCTGGTGAAAAACTTGTGTTTTTTTTTTCCAGAATATGTAACACTGTAAGATTGATTTGGCTGAGTATGCAATTCTCACAGAATGGCTTCCTGACACAGACTGTTGTAAAAAAGAATGAAAAGAGGGTACAGATTGGTGCCTCTGGATGAGTTTATATAAGTCATGATATTAAAACACACATTTTTAGAAGAAGACTGAATAAAATGCAATATTAAAGTCAGAAAATATCACTCTGACCTGCTGTGTTACTTTTTTCATGGTAATATTCACAGAAGAAAATACTGATCCAAAGTGATTCAGGAACCTCCAAATGATGGTAGGGAGCTGCTTGCTGATAGGCCATGTCTGAATAAGATGCTGACATCTATTTTGATAATGTAGCCAAAAGAACTTGAGAATATGTTGGAAGTCACAGGTTTAATGTAGTGTGTGTGTGAATAATAGTTTCTCTAGTGCCTGAGACAGCATATATACTAAAAGATGTTTGTATGACAAAAGATACCTAAGACAAAAGTGGTAGCCAGATCTGTAATATGGAGACATCTTGAAAGAAATGTGTGAAGTGGGAGAAAACAATAAAACACATATAAAAATGTATCACTGACATCACCACTGCCAATGAGCTGTTGGAATGGCATTTGTATCTGATAAAAGAAAAGAAACACAAGAGGTATATTCCAGCTACAGAAGAGAACACCCCACTTAGCGGGGATTTGAAGGACAAGGTTGGCCCCCAGACCTGTCAATGTTGTGAAGGCTTTGGATGATATATATTAAAACAACCAGGATAGTATCTTTCTGATAAACTTCCCAGACTGCATGGCATGTTTTCTTTGCCTTTAGTGGTCTTGCTTTGAATGTTATAGCTGACCTTTACCTTAAGCTTTGATAGATACACTTCTAGTGTCTTGTGCCAAAGTGAAAGAGAATGATATAAATGGAATTAAATGAAATTTTGGAGAGGTGGTGGCTCGGTGAAAAAACAGGATAGTCAGATAGATGGTCCAGTGGTACTCATACTCAGAGAAATGCTTGAGGAGTCCACAATCTTGGAAATTATCCTCTGGAGTTTTGTGCATGGACCAGTGAATGTATTTCTGAACCGAACTGAAACTGTATCCCGTGCTTAGGTCACGCCATCAGATAAAGTACTTTACAAGAAATATGAGAAAAAAAATGTAGCAAATTGTTTACCTGCAGATATAAAGCAAAAAATACTAACAATAGTGCCTTGGTGTCAGACGTATTGATGCCAAAAAAAATAAAGCTGAGTGAGAGTCAGCCATAACCATTAGTGCCAGGAACACCTGCCATATTTTGGCTATGATGACCAAGTTGTAATGTGATTTGCCAAATTTCAACTGATGAAAACCTGATTTTTTGTTCTGACATCTGTGATTTTGATCTGTACTCCGTGTTGAAGCATTTCCTTCTAATATTACCTGCTCTTGCATTATTTCATCAGAACTACCTCCCAGTTAACAGAGACCCGCTCTGCTTTTCAAGACAATACAGAGTGGCCTTGGATGCACCTTTGGCAGCTTCCTCAGCACCTGTGAATGCACTCCATGGACTTGTATATGTGCAGTTTACATAAATGATCCCAAATTTGATCCTATTCTGTTGTGAGTAGTACCACTTTTTACCCATGCTTTCCTATTAGACACAGAGACCTAGAAGGCCACAGTAAAAAAGGCATTGGGCATCTCAGCCTTTTCAGTATTGAAAGGTCACCTGCCCAGGTGGCAGACTTATATTTTCTAGATCTTCCTTTTACTACTGTTGTTCTGCAGAAATTTTTCTTGTTACCCTTCAGTTTACACTTCCATGGAGTGCTCATCTTCCTAATACTGTGCCTGAATGTTGTTTCTGTAGCCTGCTTCCTCTCCTGCATGCTTCCTTAAATCCTATAGCAGGAAATGTTTGAAGTTCTTTGATGACTAGCTAGTAATGTGACGGAACATGGCAGGTATCAGGAGCACATACCAAAAAGAAAGGCTCTTAAAATGTGATGCAGAAACTTGTTTCTTCCTGAAGCTTTGAGAGTTGGATAAATACTTATTTCTGTTGTCTAGGAAGTAGTTTTCAGTTTCTTTATACTACCCACTTCTGGAAAGATTTATATGCTGTGTACGCGTGTTGGAACTCGATCACATATACCCATTGCTGTCTAAAGAAGAATTCATTTGCATGAAAAGCTTAAGGGTTTTTTCCCCAGGATATATCACTGCCTAGTAAAAGCTATCATTCTCCTCTGATAAACATTTATGTAAATGTTTGTTCTTCAGGAAAATTACACCGTCTAAGAGATGGGGTTTATAATTTTATAGGAAATTCCTATTCTGGCCTGAAAATGGTTATTTTGTGTATGGACATAAAAAATATTATTGTTACCTGTTTGCTTTTTTCTGTCTCAGTTTTAGTAATCATCTGAGAGAAGTCTTCTAGTTCCTCTGATAGAACTGGTATTTTATTGTCATCTTCTTCATCAAACTGGGGCCCAACTTTCCTTCTAGTTTTGGGTAAGATCAATTCCTGTAGATATTCTTCAAACTGAATATGAAAAATGCCCAATTTGTCTGCTATCTGTCGTGCACAAGTAGTTTTACCTGCTCCATGAGTCCCAAGTAAACACACCCGTAAAGGAGGAGCCTGTAGGAAAAAAATTGAATACTCTGTAACATTTTGGAGTGTACAATGCATCTCCTACTGTTTTTAACTTCTAAAGTATCATAATAAAAATTCCAAAACCAGTCCATAATTATACATTTTAATTTTTCCAGACTTTCTATTGCTGTTCCAACCAGACTACCTGCTTTCTGGAAACACTGAACAAATACACTACAACGGCAGATGTCAGAAACTTCATTAGAGAATTCTGGTAAATCTTCCCTTCTTTTACCATTCTTCAACTTACAAAAAAAAAGAAAAGATAATAAAAAGCCCCCCAGTATGTGTGATCTGTTAATCAATTTTAAGATTATTGTAAGTCTTTATAATCTTCCTCTTTTCTGCTATATTTGCATAAGTAATTCAATGTGTTAATTTGAATGTACACTAAAAAGTCACTAGGGAAACCATATGTTTTATTTCCTTCAAGGACTTGCTTAATATATTGTTACCTAGAAAAAAAAATCAGCAATAATAAACAATTCTAAATGGGAATGAAAAATAGTGATTTTAATCTGCTATTATCTACTTTAAATAATTATTAAGATTCTCACTTGTATCGGTTCATTGTGAGCCACATATTCTTCAGGGTTCTTCAAAAATTTATCTCTGTAGTCAGAAGTTGAAAAGTAATAAATATTTTCTTTATATTTAGCTGCATGTTCCTGGAGTCCAGGGTGGAGGACAAAGTGCTCTTTCAGACTGACTGGACAAAAGTGTATTGTATCTCCCATGTGCCTTTTCTTTTGCTTAATTGTTTCTTCATCCTGAAAATATGAAAATTTTCAAAAACTCTTAGAATTGAGTATTTACGGAGATTAAGTATACTGAGTAGATCAGATGAAGTAATGCCAAACACATTAACTGAGGACTGAATGAGTACTGTATTCTCAAAGTAGTTTGTAAGCCAAAAATAAATCTATGAAAATACACACTTTTTAGATTCTGAGTCAGAAAACAAACTGTCCAAGAGAATTATTGAGAAGAGAGTTACCATTTTAAATTTGAAATTATAATATCGTAGTTAGCTGTGGAAGACCAAACCCAGGGTAGAAATATCTATAATAAAACCTTTTCCTACCATGTTCTTGAAACTGATTTTCTCTTGCTTCTAAATGTAGACCTCTTCAGAAAAGACAATGAGAGCTGGTGTTATGAAGTCAGATTATTTATCCAATAAAATTAATTTCTAAAAAATCTATTCAATACTGCGTTACTACAGTATATGGATATCCTGTACTGTTAAATTTGAGGATGGGAATCTTCCAATATAGGATGAAAATAAAAGAAAGGCAAAGCTAGACCTCTAATGTCATTAAAGTGGGTGTTTGAAAATTATCAATAGCTGAGATGTAACAGGGGATTGCATATTAGGACTCTGCATCTTCTGATGTTTATATGATGGCTCACAGATCATTGTTAGTTGACAGAAATCAAAGTTCATATTTCTTTCTTTAATAAAGCTCCTCTTTGCCATCTGGCAAAACTAGGTACATTCATTCTCTCTATTAGCATGGGGGATATTTAAGCTTCTTGCTGCAGTAAAACTACTATCAGCCAAAACATAGAAATATAATGAAAGTGTTCTTGAAGCATATGCTAGTATTTATTCTGTAAGAAGGCTTAAACTGGATCATACAGAGGGCATGGTCTCAAGTTGTGCCAGGGGAGGTTTAGGTTAGATATTAGAAAGAATTTCTTTACAGAGAGGGTGATCAGACATTGGAATGGGTTGCCCAGGGAAGTAGTGGATTCTCCGTCCCTGGAGATTTTTAAAAAGAGACTGGATGTGGCGCTTAGTGCCATGATCTAGCAACTGCAGCAGTAGTGGATCAAGGGTTGGACTTGATGATCTCGGAGGTCCCTTCCAACCCAGCTGATTCTATGATTCTATGATTCTATGATACAAAATCAGGTGCAAAATATAACTTCTCTGGGGTTATGTTCAAACTGAAAATAAACGAGTTACAATAAAAGCACAAACAAATAAAGCTGGCATGCTTACTTCTTCATTTTCCTCTTCCTCTTCTTCAACTTTGTCTTCATCTACCTCATTTTCCTGTTCAGCAGCCAGATCTTCTGCTTCCTCTGCTAAGTCTTCAGCAGATAATTCCCAACCGTGATACTTAAAAGGTTCTGAAAAGGTTAGGTTTTTTTCCTGTTTCAATATTTTTCATTTGTTTGTGCCAGAACAGATTCTCTGTCCATAAAAGTAAGTGCATATGTGAAAGAAAATAAAGCCAACTGTATATTGCATTTCTTCTACTCATAGAACAAAATGTTCTCCCCAGATGTAGGAATTAGTAAATTGCCTCCTCCAAAAATGGAAATTCTACTGGTTGTTTTTGGTTGGAGTATTTCAATGGGAACTTGTATTACAAAAGTATACAAGCACATGCAGAAAGGGACATTACTGTTTTCAACAAGTTTTTTGTTTTGTTTTTTTGGTGGTTATTTGGTGGGAAAAATCATCACTTAAATTTTAATTGATTATAAAGCCAGCACAATAGACGTTATGGTAAATAAAACACTTCCATTGTAGTAATGATAGGAAAAATGTAATATTAATATTATTTATCCAGTGCTCAAAATTCTAAGAGATTTGAGCACATGAGTAAAGGAATGTACTTTGCAAAAAAAAAAAAAATTCAGTGTAAAATTCAGTCTTGAAATACAGTCTGTGCAGGTGGGTAGGTTAGATTAGTATACATTAACCCAGTGAATATTGTACATTAGTGAACCTTCAATATCTCTCCATTTCTCAAACCAGTATCCTGACATGAACAGAATAGAGCAAGTAACCGGGGAAATGTGCTGTCAGAATGTTTAGGGAGCTATTATGTACATATTTGCATAGCCTATCTCTCTCTATATATATTTCAAATATACATATTCCTCACTCTTCCTATGTCTTAAAGGGCGCTATTGAGCTTTTCAGCTGACCCTCAGAACACACCATGAGCCATTTCACGTTAGTAATATCAAACTTAGTATAACCTAACCCCCAATTTATTCATCACATAAGCTCTCCAAAATCCCCCTTGAAAGTTTAAGTGCCAATCACATAAACAGTATTACTTACTTTCCATAACCAGCACTGTTTGATTGAGCAGACTTGCTGGAGTTTGCTCAGCGATCTCTAGAACAACAACCTGAACTAGAGATGACTTCTTGATTTCTGATTCCACTGTTTGCCAATCATGCATGAAAAGTTCAATCTTCTTTTTAATTGTATCCATTTCTTGTGCATCTGGAAAAGCATCCTCTGCAAACTTGGGTAGCGTGATTTCTGAAAATCAAATCATATAACAGGCAATGCTCCTCTAAAATGTTTTACATTTAAAAATTATCATTATGCTTTAGGATTATTTTTATTTTGCTCAAATATGGTGGCATATTTTTTTAAAGCTTCTTCTCTCCCGTAATTATGAATTATTATATTAGTATTTTACAAAGACACTTTGTAAACTCCCAATTTAACTATGTTGATGTTGTATATACTGAGCCATCTCCAGGAAAATAAATGAGGTCAAGTTGCTTAACTATATTTCCATATGGTTATTTAAATCGTCTCTCAGATAAATATAATTACTCTTTCTCCAAATAAATATAATATAGAATACATTAATTTAAAAATTATGATTTCATGATAACAGCTTTTGACAAGCTATCCATATAGTCATGCCTCATGCAAGCATAGAAAAAATAAAGAGTAGGAAAACTAGCATACACTGCAAAGAAGCAACCTCATGTTCTGACCTGGTTCAGGTTCTGTTACTGAAGCTGTTGTGGAGTGTTCAGGTTGTGTGTTAGGTATTTGTTCTTTTTCAAGTGGAGCATGTTCTCTTTACAGGACTAGAAATATAATACTGCTAGGTGTTATTTCTCTATGGCATCTCAATATACAGATATTAATGAATTAAACCTTCATTTATGCAAACAACAGCACATAGATATATAAAGATCAACATAGCAAAATATTGCAGAGGAAATAGAAGATTTAGAGGAAAAAGGAAAAAGAAAGGACTAAAACAGAAGGCCAGTGTAAATATCAAGGATATGAGAGAAGGTATTGAAGACTGAAATCCTAAATTGATAAAGGCAAAGCAGTGAGCTAAAACACTAAACCATGCAGTGCAAGATTTCTTAAACCAATTACAACTGTGGGACTGTTCTGTGCAGGGACAGGAGTTGGACTCAATGATCCTTGTAGGTCCCTTCCAACTGAAGATATTCTATGATGCCTCTATCCATAACTAACAAATGAGGCAAGACACACCCACAAAAAGCAGTCTAGGGAACCGCGCAACCAGGAGCACTGCAAACAGAGCACGGTGCATCAGCTGGGGCATGGCACAGCTGTTTGTGCAGCAGTTTGTGTGCCAGGGCACGCAGGGGGGGCACAGTCCCCCCACCAGCTCAAGAGGTGAGTTCAGCTGGTGGTCATCGTCCTCTCAGAGCTTAGCTACCATGTCTACCGGGTAAAAAGCTATGTCCTCTGCACTCACCAGCACGGATGTGGCAACCCAGACAGAGCCCTGGCACTGGTAACATGAGAACAGCTATGTGAGGTGCAAACAGGTGGATTATGTGCTCAGTCTGGTGGCAGAGCTATGAGAGGAGGTGGAAAGGTTGCATCAGAGACTCTGAGAAAGAGTGCTACAAGTGACAGGCTCTGGCATGTCCCACAGCCAGAGACTTAGATGTGGAAGGCCAGTCAACAGATAATGTGGATGAAGGTCCATCTACACCAGAGATGTTGGCAGGGTCAAAGGCCTACCCCCTGTATCCTGACCACCTCCACAAGGAAGACTAGTGGAGTGGTCTTCCACTGGATTATAGTGGTAGGCAACAGTGTGGTGATGTTGCTGCTATTCCCACTTCCTGCACTCATATAATTTTCAACTCTGATTTTCTTCTTTTTCTTACCATTTTTTCTTTTGTGTTCTGTTTAATAAGTCTGACATTAATGCCTTCAGCTAACAGACAGAAAAGCAGTTGAGAACAATGACTTCAATAGTCTGATATTACTGTAAGTTTGCTGGGACACAGTGTGTGTTGTGTTTGTCCCTTTCCAGAAATGAAGATGCAAGAAAAACCTTGAGCAGCAGATGGAGTGATTTTCTACTTTGCTATAATGTTCCCATTCTCTTGGTGTTTTTGTCTTAAGTTTGAAAGAGCAGGAACAGATTTTGACACAAATAACAACATATGCAGTCTATTCCAATGAACTTTTATGATTTTTTAAAAATCAAGGGATCATTACTACTATTTTTCCTTATATAACTTCCTACACATACAAAGGAGAGGTATTATTACAAATGAAAGCCTTACACAATGCCTTGTATGTTAAAAGCTTTGACTACTTTCTCATCAATACAAACCTCCAAAGTATTAAAACCTCAATGTTTTATGGTTACTCCCTGGCATTAAGCAGGCCAACACTCACTATGTCAAATTGCAGCACTGTAATATTCATTTTGAGTTTGTCCTAACCTGAAAACTCCAAACAATTTTTCTGTCTTATGAAGAGTTAGATTGCCCTGTTACAATTTTCTTCATTAAGCAAACTAGTATTTCCTCCTTAGGGATTGCTGAAGAAATGCACAAATGACACATTTAGTTTTCCATAACAGAGGTAGATAAAAAAATGCTAAGTACAATGTAGCTGGATTTCAGTGATTAGGTACCAACAAGATTTGGCAGGAAACAAGACTAAATATAATGGTCAAAGTAGATATGATGCCTAATTTTTGTCTGAAATGCTACCAACTAAAGCATCACCTGGAATAGCTGGGATGTGTGAGCGCCTGCAGGACAAGGAAGATATGTAACATTTTTCTGACTTGGATGGCTAAGCTATTAATGAAGGTATTGTATCAAAGGGCAGTGCCACTACTGTCTCTAGAAGAAAGCAAGCCAGTGCCCTGCCTTCAGGGCTTTAATTGACAAAGAGGTAAAGTTAAGGATTTCCATTCTTTTGTAATTGGCCAAATTTAAAAAGATGTAGGATTTCAAATACATGCCTCCTTTTGACATCCCTTAATGGCTCACTAAGGTTGGCCCCTTGCTAGTTTGCTACTTGTTGTGCCTATTTCTACAGCTCTTTAGTCCATATTTGAAGTCAGGCACTTAGAAGTTAGTATGGCAGTTTTGGGTACTGCAATGTCTACATCTTCTTATGGGTCTCGATCTCAATGTGTAGTCCTCCAATACTAAATTTCTAAACACTTCAGTGCTTTTAATAATTTTATTCTTCTACTTTTGAGGCTGAAACTTTTATTCTCTCAAATTACCTGTACTATATATATGATAAACTGAGATTTGAAATAAGTCAGGTGCTCTATAGCAATTCATATGCTGGCTCACGGACCTGAGGGCACTCCTGGGCCTGGCTGTCTCCATGTGGCCCCTGGGGCTCCCCCCTAACCTGCCCAGGACTCCATGTCAGCCCTCGGGGCCATCAGCTGCTACCCCAGCAATGCTGCTGCTGGGCCAATCTGCAGCTCCTGACAGCCCTGCCCAGCCACGGGCTCTGAAAAGCTGGGCCAACCCACAGGCTGACATCTCAGCCTGACCTCAGCTTTTTGCTATCCCCAGGGAGCTGCAAGAGCCAAGGGCCAGAGCTACCCTGCTCCTGACTAGTGCAGTGTCCAGATGGCCATGCTAGTATACTGCACCGCCAGCTCTGTTCCTTTGGGAGCAGTTTGCCCTCTCAGTGTCTGACATGTTGCGCCCAAGGTGAACTGCAAAACTTTATTAACAAATAAGCGTTTTGTTATGTATTTTTGCAATCTTTAATAACAAAGAATACTTAATGCCTTTCCCCCTTTTTTTAAAGCTTGAACAACACAGCTATCAGACTGATGCCTCAGTGGCTAACCTTCCTCCTGTTTGAATGATTATTAGTCTAAACATAAACTAAAAGTGCAAAAGGGCATGTAATTAAGCAGAAACACCTTGCAAATTTCAAATAGTCTGACCTTGAATTAGAAAGTATTTTTTTCTTGAAAATGTTTATGAACATTTGCATCTTACTAAACTACACTTTCATTCTATATATATCATTACTATACTCTTCAGTGACATTTTTCTCTTGCTGTGATTTTAAAGAGGAAAGTGAAAATACCTTTTTATGTGCTTTAAAAAAAAATGTTGTGTAAATGGTACCATTAATTATGTTGCATTCTGCAGTGATGTATTCCAAGTGAGACAGAGATGTAGCCAGGTAAAACCTGCTTAAATTTGGGCAGCTCTAATGCAATATGTAATGATGACTCCACTAGGAACACAGATTTTAAGAAAATAAGCAAAGGATACACTAATAACTAGGATATGCTAACTGCTTGTTGCACGTGTTATCCCTGGCACAGTCACACTGTAGAAATCACATGTGCTGCCTTGTGAACCACAGCCCTATTCACAGCAATAACACATGGAAGACAGGGATGAGGGCTGTCTGGATCTAGCTTTCAACAGATCATCTCCTATAGTTCAGCCCTTCTAAAAACCTCTCAGTTCTGAGTAGGTCAAGAAACTTTGGAAATATATAGACAGAATAATGGATTTAAATGAATATTTGGCATCATCTGAGACACAATGTTGAGCATGGTAACAAATCCACTCAATAGAATGTTTCCTGTTAGAAACTTTATCTCAGAAGCATACCTCTCCTGATACAATATTTAGCAAATGATGGATCAGCATGTGATCCAGCTTTGTTTTGCTACTGTAGGCACATAATTCCATCAGATTACCTCTATCTGGGAGGGTTTTTGCTTGAGGAAACATATCCAGCAGCAATTATTGCATACTTACAGAGTTTTTAAATAGATTACCCAGGCCTAAGTGAATTGGAGAAACTTTCCCCTCAAAAGAGGGTAGAAGTAACAAAAGAGAAAAGGTTTACATTCCTAGGGAAAAGGGATAACCCAAAAATCAGACAATCCAAACCTTATTTAGTTTTGGTTCAGGTTTTTGAACCTTATTATGACAAAAATGTTGCCTCCCTGGCGTTTAGTTTGTTTCCAACTGGGTCTCAGGTACCGAAAAAAAAGAAAATATTTTTCTGTAAGGCAACTATACCTTTGTCATTAGGTGTAAATTATAATAATTCTGCTTGGAGAGATTATTTATGGTGAGAAGATATTTTTAAAGAAATTAAAAACATAGTCAAGAAAAACCCTTGAAAAGACAGTAATGGTTTTAAAATAAACGATATAAAAACATAAACAAGTTTCTTTCCGAGAAGTTGGTGGTCCATCTAACAGTGCTGTTCTTAACTTCATT